AACCTTTGTAAACATACAATGGAAGTATGTAACTAACTTATAGGTCATTAAAAAAATAAAGTAACATTTAAACAAAAAACTTTTTCAACAAATTATTTAAGACTAACCAACTAAAATATTAACTGTGCTTAGAATCTTARCAATTTATAATAAGTCATCAGTGCTACTCTCATTGTCAAGTTCAAAAGAAAAGTCTTCATCGTTTTCAGCACTACTCTTCCACTCACTACCACAATCAGATTCATCAATACTACTGAAGCTGGCTTCATCTGCTAACATTTTTTCAATTCTAGTGTCACTAAGATCAGTTAGATCTATATTCTTGTTTGGCGATTTTCGTTTTGGTTGCCTAAGTTGCCTTGGATAATTTGATGAAGTACTAGCAGACATAATCAATTGATCTTCAAAATGTAACTCAGTGTCAGTATCAATAGTATAATCAAGCCCTGCATTTCTTGATTTTTTTGATGGAGTGCTAGAGTAGTTGTTAATCATTTGGTTTTCAATGTTTTCATCATAATATTCTGGGACAACATTAGTTGAAGCTGTTAYCTTTTTTAACTGCACTTCATCTGTATTATAATTTTTAAGCAAATTCTTGTTGTGAGCAATAAAAAGTAATTTTGATGCTCTTTCGTTGTCTAGTCTATTTCTTTTCAAATTTTGTATATGTCCCATTTTACTAAATGATCTTTCAACAGATGCAGATGTTGGTGGGGAACTTAGTATTTTTATAGCAATTTTAGCTAACTCAGCAGSTGAATTACTGCAAAATCCTTTCCACCAGATGAGTGGATTAAGYTTTGAATCCAATGTTTTCCATAAAAACTCTTTGTTGAAAATACCTTCTTTGGATCTATATTGAGCTATTTGTGAAATTAGATTATTTATTTCAATATCTGCATTATTTTTTCCCATATTAATTATAAATTCAATAGCTTCTATGTCTTCGCCATCTTTAAGATCTTTTCCAAATGTGTTTGGGTCAAGAATGTTTGCTGCCAAATGTATTTTTTTTAAGCAAAAATCACGTCTGTTTTCAAGCATAGCTAAAATTTTTAATACTTCATTTTTCAGAKGTTCTACTTCTAATGAAATAAATTCTTTAAAATCTTTTTCCAGTTCACTAAATATTGTACAAACAATGCTTAAATTAAGTTTATCTCCTTGTACTAATTTTAAATAATGTGCAAGTGGTTTTAATAATTTATAAAAGGTTTCAATTCTTTCCCAAAATACATCCATTAAAATACAATTTTTAGTTTGTTGAGTTACAGTTAGTTCAACTCGTTCATCGATACACATTGCCTTTAAACAAGATTTATTGTCGATTAAACTCTGCATARATCTTACAATTGAACCCCAACGTGTAGCTCCAGGCAATTTTAAGCTAGGCAGATTCCCAGACAATAAACTTTGTTTTTCTTTTAAAACAGATAACAGAATATGTTTGTTTTTTATTTCTTTAATTACATGTTTCAATTCTACAACAACTTCTTTTAGTGGCTCTAATCCAGTAGTAATATCCTGAACCAACAAATTAAGTCCATGAGCCACACAACCATAACAACTGATATGTGGATAATAACTTTGAATTAGACTCCATGCTGCTTTCATATTACTAGCATTATCCGTTACTACTGATGTAAACTTAATTTCACCAAATTCTTTTAACACATTAATAATAATATCCTTCATATAAACTCCTGAGTGTTTATTTGATTTCGTATCAATAGATTTTAAAAATATTGGTTCGGGTGTTGTAATTATGAAGTTAATTATACTATCACCTTTAACATTTGTCCACCCATCACAAGTCAGTCCCAAACTATATGACTTATWAATTTTTTCTTTTAAGTTAAGAAGCAGTTTATCATAGTGTGTATTAAGGAATTTGTTGGATAATTTATGACGACTTGGCAAAATAAACCCTGGGCGAATACTTTTGTAATGGTCTATTGTACTGCGATTCTCAGTGATATTTAATGGTAGACAATTTCCAAAGACAAACATAGCGAATGATAGCTCAAATTTTTCTTGATCTTCTTTGCTAACAATAT